AGACTTCTGCAGATTTAACTTAGTATATTATAATAAAAATCATGTTAAAAATGTTTTCCACAGTTTCCTTTGAAATATTTTAAAATCCTACATAATGACTTCTTAAGTCATTGGGCTGATTAAAAAAATGACTTTAAAAAGATATTCATTTAAAGATATGGCTCATTTAGCAAACAATGTAACAATTAAATTGACAAGTGGACAAAACATACCAACAGATGATTCACTGAAGAAAATTACAGATGGAAAACATGCACATGAAAAGATGATAAACAACAAAGTCATTTCTACTGCTGGCAAGCTGATTCCAACAGGTAGCGGTCCTCTGTACAGAAAAGAGCTGCCCCATAAGGTTCTTAGGACAGCAAATGCTTATGAAAGCTACTGACTCACCCCCAGCAACTAAAGAGCTAGACCCACCAACTTTCTCAGTTAACAACGGTTAACCAAGTTATTACCAAGTGTAACTTCTTAATTTGTAGCTGTGCTTCCAAACCTCCTCATGGGCCACTGGGGAAACAATCCAAATCACCATACATCTATTAGAATAACTAAAATAAAGTCAGTCACACTGCCAAATGCTGACGAGGATGCAGAGAAATGGGATCACACACACATCACTGGTGCGAATGTACAACGATACAGCTGCTCTGGGAATGGTTCCTTGTAAAGACAGGGCTCATTTAAAGTGGAACCCTTTATGTCATTTATTTTATACATAGTAGATAACCGTCTAAACACAGGTATTTTAAAAGTCGTTAGCTGCAGTCCAGTCAGTACCAGCATCATGACTATTTCATACACCTAACAGAACCACAGGGTTTTCATTGGCTGACTTTTGGAAGATTGCCAGGCTTTCCTTCCTAGTCTTCATTGGGAAGCTCTGCAGGATCATAGCACCATGTAAACCTCCACTGACAACAGAGAATTATAGGAAGAGCTCATTCCACTCTGTTCCTAAGATCCCAACTACTGCATTCTGCTAGAGGCAGTTGATCCCATGAGACAATTAGCCAGGGTTAAGCTGGGATGCTGTCAAGTGACTGCTGAATTGGAACCAATGTATAGCTGACCCTCCAGCGAGTTTCCAGGGGCAGGATGGGTGGCAACTGCCCATCTTTCTCCTGTACAGCAGCTGGTAGATTTGAACTGTATACCTTTTACTTTGGCAGCTCAATCCTTTCCCATTAAAGCCACCAGACCTCTGTAAACTGGGCATAGAAGTAGCCATATTTATAAAGCGATTAGGCTCCAAAATACGAACATCAGTTGATGTGGGACCACCTATTTGACTCTTAGACCCTTTGAAAGTTTTGCACTATATATCTGTCTTTTAGTATGCCAAATGATTCTGGAACCAGGTGGGTCTTAATGATCTAGGGAGTGTTGGACTTTTAATTCTCACTGAGAAAGATGAACTGAATTTCCTGAAGGTATCTAGAATCTTTTGAGGTACACTTTCAGGCTATTTGGGATGACTCTGGCATCACTTACAGTGCCTAAACTCCAGAAAGAGTACTGCTTCTCCTCAAAGAACTCCAGATCATTTTGCCAAGCCTTTGGAATAGGCTGTTTCTCATTAGAGACTAGAGAGTTCTGATGGCCTAGTGGGTAAAGAGTTGTGTTACAAACCCAAAGGCAAGTGGTTTGGTTCCACCATCTGCTCCACAGGAGAAAGATGGGCTATCTCCTTCCATGTAACTTATGGCCTCTGAAAACCCACTGGGCACAGCACACAATGATGATAAGAGAACTCTAGCCCTTACATTACAGTCTCAATGTTGTTGTTAAATGCTACAGATTCTGACTCAACAAGGGAGTCCTTAATTCAACAGAAACTTATTTTGCAACAAGTTACTCCTTATCAACAAATGTATGAAACATGAAAGATAAAATGCATATGTATAAAAAAGTGCACTCAGGAACATGTAATAAAAATTCACTCTATAGCTAAGAAGGCACAGTGGTAGGTTCTGTAGAAGCAGACACGGTTTCTGCTTTCAAGGGAATGCTAAGCTTAGCTGCAGCTGCACAGAAGGCAGAGAAAAGGTGTAATCAAGTATTTTGCTCAGACACAAGAAAAGCAAAAACATCAGATCCAAGGGGATGTTCTGCCAGCTTTGCAGAGACATGAATCAACTACTGAACTCTGATGGTATAGTTGTAGGCAGTTGTGCTAATTCTAAGGCACTTTCCTGGTGGTTCGAATCCAGGGGCTGCTTTGCAGGGGAAAGACGGGTAATCTCCTGCCATATGATTTACAGCCTCACAAGTGTCAGCTAGGAGTTGGTTTCAACTTAACAGGGATGATATAATATATACATATTAGGGAGCTCTGGTGGCCTAGTGGCAAGAAGCTACACTGTAATACCGAAGGCACACAGTTCAAGGCCACCAGCTGCTCCAAGGGAGAAGGGTGGACAATCTCCTCCTGATCAATTAAATGACTAGAGGGTCAGTTATGAGTTGGTTCTAACTTGATGGCACAGAACAACATACGTATACACAAACATACACACATACATCTTATATATATA